CATCTAAAGCTAAATCTTTATAACAATTTGAAATATAATTTAGACATCCTAAAAATCTCTGTAATTCTTTTTTATCTTTTATGATGTCAGGAAATCTGGAAGCAAATTCAATTGCCCTATCGATAGGAATTATCCTTCCTTGAAAGATATTATGCCCAAGAAACCTACTTTTTGTTTTAAAAAGATTTATTTTTCTTGCAGAAACAACTAGTCGGATATTTTTTATAGCTTTTAAAAATATATTTAAATGTTTCCAATGTTAGTCAACATTATCAGAATATACGAGGACATCATCAATATAGACAATAATGAATTTAGTATATGGATTAAAAATGTCATTCATAATGTTCTGAAATTCTGAAGGGGCATTTTTTAACCCAAAAGGCATTACCTTCCATTCAAAGTGCCCGAAAGGAACATTAAATGTTGTTTTATATTTATATTTCTCCAAAATTTGAATTTGCCAATATCCTGATTTTAGGTCAAACTTTGAAAAAATACAAGCATTGACTAATCTATCAATGAGATCCCTTTTATTTGAAATAGGGTAACGAATCCATCTCAAAACCTTATTCAAGGGTTTATTCAACGAATCCACAGCTTCAGGATGAAGAACTTTTTCTGATTAGTTTTTTGTTAAGAAGTTCTTGTATTTCAGTTTTACAAACTTCTAGGAGTCTGCTATTCATTTGTATTGGCCTGGCTTTCGTTGGAATTTTCTGTTCGTTAAACCCTGATTCATAAGAAAGTTCCACAATGTGTTGCTTTGTATTCCAAAAAGAGTTACGGATTTCAGCACAAACTTCTTTTTCCAATATTGTTTTGAAGTTATTGATTTTACTTTGTATTTGTGGAGATGTTAATTTTTCATCAATAGTTTTATACTTAACCTCTTCTTTTAAATGAAAGAGAAATCTTTCTTTTGTAGAAATCTTATTTTTGATGCTATTTATTTCATGAATTTTTGGTTTATCAATAAAGTCATATTTTACTTCATATCCTTCAATATCAGCTTTTATCTCAGTATTGTCAATTTTAATGGGATAGAGTTCCAAGTATCACAAGCTGGCTCAATCCTTTAACCATTATAAAAGGAAATTTAAAGCATGCACCATTATTACAAACTGCTGCATCAGATAGTTTATATTTTATTATCATTTTACTACCATCAGCACTATTCAAAACCTAGGTTGTTTTGCTGAAATATTTGGTTGGAACCAATCCTTCATTTATACAGTTTAGATCGGCTCCTGAATGGATAAGGGCGGTAGTTTGAAAAGTGAATTCCTTTTGTACCATTATTTTTATGATGGTAAACCATCTTTGGGTTATCACTTTATCCAGGAGGTTTATATATTTATAATCTTGTATTTTTCTTAACATATTACAGTTATTGGAAGTTTGTGGATCGTCTATTACTCTTGGGAGTGTATCTTCCATTTCGGGTGGTAACAGATTGTGATTATAATCATGCATTATATTATTAAATTCTTCTTCAGGATTTTCTTCTTCAATCCCACTTTCATTTTTAGTGGCTGCTACTTCAAGAATTTGTACTC